CAGCTTCCGTACACAAAGCGGTGTCCGTCAGGGATACCCACCGTCTCCATTCCTATTTAATTTCGTTATTGACGAAATAATGAGACGAACGCTGGGAGATCTTCGAAATCCCGGTGTTCAAATAGCCTGTGACGTAAACCTTGTCGATATAGACTGCGCAGATGACATCGTCATCGTCTTCGAAAGGAAGAAGGCACAGGTGTTTTTGGATGAACTAACCAAAGGCATTCCGTCATTTGGTATGCACTTCGCACCCACAAAATATAAGGCAATGCTCCTGAACATGCAGTCACTAAACACACAATTTACAATCCAGGGAGAGGATCGAAGCTGTATAGCGTTTTACGCATCCTCGAGGTTGTATTCGCTATGATTGTAGTGTGACAGATGAGGTGGATGCACGAATTTGCAAGGCTCGGGTCGCGTTTCATAATTTAAGACACCTATGGCGTCAAAGCGGTATATCCCTGAATCACAAGGGACGTGTGTATCGGGCTACAGTGCGGGTTGTTTGGTTTTGTTTTATGACCTGCTCGAGTAACGAGTCTGATACATCCTCAGGTGTTCGGCAACCGTCGTCTCAGGACCACGGTTTGTGCGGGTTGGTGTAGGAAAACCCGTAGCAAGGCAAATATGGGGCGAGTTTTCGGGTGTGCAATGGGGAGTTCCACTAAAGAATGCGGCCAGCACCAGAAGCTGCTTTGGTTAGGCCATATTTTGCGCATGCCAAACCATCGTTTGCCTGAGAGAGTGCTGTTTTCCATGTCGATTTTAGAGTGGCGGAAGCACAGGTGGACAATCCTTGACCTGGTTGAGGGGTATGAAGAATATTGTGAAACGCTTAGGTGTCGTCGGTTCTACTCACCCTCCAGGAACGGGACCGCGTGATCCCCAATGCGCCTGGGTGGAGACGCTGCAAGATACGGCTGCTAATCGATGTGAACGGTGTTCTTGTTGTCACTTTCTATCCACATTGCCTGAATGAGCATCTGGAGGCGCAGGCACCTGAAGTGACTGTAGTAAGCTGGCACTAAGTCCCTTCCCCGTCCACTCTTAATCTTTTCTTCACAATAAGACTTCCAAGTGAATAATGCTTGTACGGCAGTGACGCGTCGGTGTTGAACACTGATGTGATGCTGTCGATGATGATGATGCTGGTGAGGGACCGCCAGAAGTGTGGATGGGACTTCTCTACAATTCAGCAGGAACGCATCCAAGNGCATCGAAGAGCCATGGTCCCTTCTGCTTCAGTCAACGCATATTTAAATGTGTCTAAGGAAAGTTCAGCTTGACCGTCGAATTGAGGATGGAATGGTGAGAAAGGTACATGTGTGACGTTGAGTTTTCGAAGGAATTCACCAAACGGATGGGATTCGAACTGCATTATTCCCTAAACAATAAGATTTTCAAAAAAATCATGGCTGTACAGCAGTGAAGAATCGGTGTTGAACACTGATCTTATGCTGCCGATGATGTTGAACTTCCCATTTGATCGGACTTACTTCGTCATAGCAACTTTATGTACCTTTGGATCAAGATTTCCGTCCAACTAAGAAGTGGAGGTACTGTTTGAGACTGAATGAGGCGTAAATGGGGTACCGGCGCTCTTCAATAAGTTTCATGCGTCACTTGACCGGTCCCCCGCCTGTCGTTCGGTTCTGATGTGGAGATAAGCCCCTTAATGAAGCTTTGCACCTCACCGTTCCCTGTCATTGGTTGAAATGCCACCGGAAGTCCGTAATTCGGGTCCAGGCTAGTAATATCTTTTTACCAACACTGCTTGATAGAGGCTGGCACAGCTTCCTCCGGACAGTAGTCATTAGGCCCTTAATCATCGAGTCCAGGGTTGCGCTAGACTTGAGGCATCATTGTGCTAGAAATTACTACAAGGCATATGCCATGAAAGCTGTAATAAAAAATTTGTCGCAGGCTTGGCAGACCGCTTTTGATGGAAAATTATAGATGACTGTATAATCACTCACCGTTCACTCTCTTCGGCCGATTTTGTCGCCTCGTCCAGTCTTGCGAGTGTTTCAGCAAGACGAGTTGAACCCTGCTTCAATAGCTCTTCCAAAGTCGTCGTCTGACGCTGCAATTCTACGACTTCTGCCTCGACCTGAAGAACGTAAGCGGCAATACCACACCGGAGAAGAGACGAAACTCACAGCCTCCTTCAAAGCTACCTCGGTTTTTATTTTTTCTGTTGTATCGAAGACCGTGTTTTGAAGTTCTTCTATCTCAAGTCGCATTGTATCGAGCTTTTTCCTTATCACATCTGCCGTCGAACTTCCACCGGTCATCACGAAGTCCCAAAACTGGAGAGATGGCAAGAGAAGCGTACGTGGTAAGCAACGTACAACCCTGATTGGCTAAATTGACTAAAGGATTGATACACAGGGTAGGGGCTTCACCTTGAGATTTGTAGTGTCTGTAATCCGTTGTCACATTTACCATTCTCCCTGAACTTAAACCACACTTTGTAACTGTCGTTCACATTGTGTCATGACGTTTGTTTTAATGTAACGAATATACAATTTCCCGGCGCGACCAGCTGACTTCTTGCTGAACGAGCGTATTTGCGCTCCGTTGAACTGGTTGTTGACTGCGAAACCAGTGGGACTAAATCACTGTGTGTGTGCCAACTGCTGAACATCACAACAAATCCCTGTGACATTTTTTAGCCGCTAACAATAATACACAGTGGAAAACCTGTCAACTGAGTAAAGTAGTCGAACGTTTCATAGACAACTGAAAGCCGCCATTATGGCTAAGTCATCAACACAGCTGTGGACCAAATCGATATCAGTGATATTGCTTTGGATTCGCAATACCGTGAAGGAGGATATTGGTTGCAATCCAGCTCAACTTGTCTATGGACAAACGCTACGTCTTCCCTGAGATATGGTATGTGTATCCACACCCAATGAGGACCTCTCACCATCGACATGCGTCAGTCGACTGCAAGATCATATGCGTATTCTTCGTCCGTCTGACACTCGGAAATCCGCTCGACGCACACATTTGGATCACAGTTTATCTTCTTGTACACATGTATTTGTCCGTGTTGACAGCGTCAAACGACCGTTGCAATATCCGTATGATGGTCCGTTTAAAGTCATTTCTCGCAAGGACAAGTACTTTGTGATTGAGAGGAACGGAAAACCGGACTCCGTCAGTATCGACAGACTCAAAGTTGCATTCATCGATGACGAATCTCACTTAGATCTCCCTACTGTGGTCACTTTACACACAAGTTTTCGAACCTACAGTACAGTCATCCCAGGGAACCCCGAACGTATGGCACGACGTATTGACGATCACCCGCCACCTATCCTGAAGCAAACACGTGTTGTTCGAACGTGCAAGACTCCTGTTTGCTTCGCAGACTACACCTCTTGAGTTTTGTCACATTATCGAGCGTCATTCCATTTCATTATTCCTGACGCTCCAGGGGAGAGTACTGTAGTGTCTGTAATCCGTTGTCACATTTACCATTCTTCCTGAACTTAAACCACACTTTGTAACTGTCGTTCACATTGTATCGTGACGTTTGCTTTAATGTTACGAATACACGATTTTCCGGCGCGACCTGCTGACTTCTTGCTGAACGAGCGTATTTGCGCTCCGTTGAACTGGTTGTTGACTGCTAAACCAGTGGGACTAAATCACTGTGTGTGTGCCAACTGTTGAACGTCACAATAAATCCCTGTGACATTTTTTAGTCGTGAATAATTTTCCCACCGTGGAATATGTCACTCACGCGGAACCCTCTGCGGGAAATTTCGACAATTGAATATTTCCTTTCACAGCCAGTTACTGCATTTGGATCGGTGTAGTGGACTATTGGGTCTGCACATTCCTGAGTCCCCATTTGACTACTCATTCTATTCCTATTGTGATTTTGTGATTTTGTATTGGTTACTTTTGCTTGGTAATTTATCCGAACACGCTGATAAGGTCCTAGTCCGCTACATAATTGGTGAGCACGGATCATTCCTTAATTTTTTTCTGTGCAGTACCCCCGTGCCGTATTACATTTATTTTCCACGTCAGGATGGCTTCTGAACAGACACAGACACCCGAAATAGGCACTGTTGTTTACGTTAAGCTGCCTGAATTCGTTGCACCTTATCCGAGGGTATGGTTCACCCAACTTGAGGGTCATTTTCGTATCGCGTCGCATTACCTCGCAGAGCAGCAGATACAATTATGTGGTAGGATGCTTACCAGACTTTGTTGCCCGATAAGTCCCTGATTTAATATACACCCGACCGTCCACCGATCCATACGATGCTCTCAAAACAGCTATTTTTTCTCGTACCACTTCCAGCGATGAGCTGAATCTGCGGAAGCTTCTCTCCAGTGTTGACGTCGGCGATAAAACACCGTCACGACATCTCCGCAACAGGATGCACCTGCAAGGTGAGCATCCGGTCAATGACGCGGTTTTGAAAGAACTTTGGCAACAAAGCCTGCCAATCGAAATCCGTAAAGTAATTTCTGTCATCGAGCAGGATTCTTTCTTAGCGAAGCTAGCCTATGTGGTTGACCGCGTGCATGAAACCTGCAGAAAATTCGTGGTCTCTAACTTTCAGCAGCAATCCACTTCGCAATCTAACATGGAGGTCGAGTTCAATGCAACGAAAGCTCAATTTTCTGTGGTATCCCTCCAAATGAATGAGGTCACCAAATTCGTTGGTCGCCCTCAACAACATAGATGGTCTAGATCTCGATCCCACAGTCGTGCTCCCAAGCACGGTGATCTGGCTGGTGCTGCTACCACCGTCGCTTCGGCGATCGCGCTATCCGATGCACCAGACCTTGCACTTTCTCCACAAAGCCTTCGAATTCGGGAAACGCCATGGCCGGCCAGTAAGGGCGACCACTGCAACCGGCTCCCTTACCTGTCGCCTGCTCTTCGTATATGACCGCTCCACGTCCTTGAATTTTCTTATCGATACCGGTGCTGTGGTTAGTGTAATTCCTCCTACGCGCAAGCATAACCTACAGCCGGTGGCATATACTCCACAGGCAGCCAACGGTACGAGCACTAAGACCCATGGTGAAAAACTTGTTACTCTCGACCTAGGTCTTCGCCGTCAGTTCCCTTGGGTTCTCACAGTGGCCGACGTTAAAAAACCCATTATTGGTCTGGACTTCCTCACGTCATTTGGTCTCACGGTTGATCTTTACAGGCGGCAGTTGCTTGGCAATTCGACGACTCCCTCTATAAATGGCAAAGCTTCATCCATCAATTTTATCGGAATCCGCCCAGCACTGCTTCGTCAATTTCCAGAGATTCTGAAACCTGCTTCCAAGACCACTTCCGTAAAACATGATGTTTTCCACCATATCTCGACAAATGGCCCACCCATCGCGTCCCGCCCACGACGGTTAGCTCCGGAAAAGCTTGCCTTAGCCAAGACCGAATTCCAACATTTGCTTCAACTGGGTATAATACGACCGTCATGCAGCCCTTGGTCATCTCCACTACATATGGTCCCCAAACAGCCCGAGGGAGATTGGAGACCGTGTGGCGATTATCGTGCACTAAATCGTGTCACTATCCCGGACAAGTACCCAATTCCGCATCTGCATGATTTTGCCCTTACTCTTCACGGCGAATCTGTCTTCAGAAAATTAGACCTTGTCAGAGCATACCACCAGATACCTGTCGCTCCGTACGATATTCTGAAAACTGCTATCACCACTCCATTCGATCTATATGAATTCGTTTTTATGCCATTCGGGCTCAGAAATGCAGCTAAAACATTCCAACGATTCATGGATCAAGTTTTACTGGGATTAGGCTTTGTCTACGCTTATATTGACGATGTACTTATCGCCAGTCGGTCCAAAAACGAGCATGTGCTTCACTTAAAGCAAATTTTTGAAAGATTTCAGCAATGTGGTATAGTCATCAATAGTAGCAAATGCCAATTTGGTGTTTCGTCACTAGAAATTCTAGGCCATATTGTTGACTCGGACGGCATCCGTACTCTGCCATCTAAAGTTTCCGCCATTTGCGACTTTCCAGCCCCCAGCAGGATTAGAAAGTTAAGACGTTTCCTTGGTCTTATCAGTTACTACCGTCGCTTTATCCCTAACTGTGCCGAGGTTGACCAACCGCTCACCGACCTACTCAGACTGAAAACTCGCAATTTCACTCTCACAGTGGAGGTCACTGCGTCATTTGAAACGGTTAAGGAAGTGTTAAATCAAGCAACCGATTTAGCACATATAAATCCTGATCCGTCTACATCTCTTTTCCTGGTTACTGATGCCTCACAAACCGCAGTTGGTGCAGTCCTACAACAGGAGGTCAACGGTGAAATACAGCCTTTTTCATTCTTTTCGCATCGCTTGCAACTCGTTATAGCACTTTTGGCCGTGAACTTCTTGCAATCTACTTAGCTGTTCGGCACTTCCGATATATTTTGGGAAGCCGACGCTTCGTAATTCTCGCATATCATAAACCGCTCACTTTTGCACTCAACGTTCCGATATAGGGAAGCCGACGCTTCGTAATTCTCGCATATCATAAACCGCTCACTTTTGCACTCAACGCGACGTCCGATCGTTATTCACTGAGGGAAACCAGGCAGTTGAATTATATCAGCCAATTCACTAGTGACATCCGTCATATTAGTGGTCGCAGCAATTTAGTTGCAGATGCTTTATCCCGTGCCCATATAAACCGCCTGGTACAAGCTCCGTTCGGCCTGCAATTACTAGCTGAAAGCCAAAAGCATGACGAAGAATTACACGAGCTAAGATCACATCCTTCCCTGAAGTTCGGTTATATGCCGCTCTTAAACTGTGATTCTAAAATTCTGGGTGACATGTCCACTGGTAAACCTCGTCCATTTGTGCCTCAGAAATATCGTCGGTCGGTCTTTACGCCTTTCCACTTTATTTCACACCCGAGTATCCGCTCAACCGCTCGATAGATTTGTGAGCGTTCCTTATGGCCTGGTACGCAGAAAGAGATCCGACAATGGCCAAAACAGTGCAAAACCTGTCAACTGAGTAAAGTTCACAAACACACGGTTACGCCACCCGGAATTTTCAAATTGCCTGCACGCCGTTTCCAGCATATACATGTAGGCATCGTTGGACCACTCCCACCATCCAATGAATGTTCCCATGTGTTAACAATAGTCGATCGCTTAACGCGCTGGCCTCAAGCGACCCCCATGCGCGACTGTTCGTCCGAAACCGTTGCCAGACACCTTGTCGACCCTTGGGTATCCTATTTTGGTGTCACTGAAAGCATCACTACAGATCGTGGGAGTCAGTTTACCTGTTCCTTGTTTCGTGAACTGAACCACCTATTGGGATGCAATCATTTCAAAACTACA